TAACCCAAATTAAAGCACAATCACAAAGTCACCAATGTGGGTGGGGACTTAAGTGTGACATTGACCTGAAATAGGATCATCTTCCAGTAGCATTATCTTTCCGTTCACATTCAAAGTGGGCTGTAAATGAAACCAGTAAGTGGACGGACTGCGACTGAAGACGTGTTACTGTAAAGAAACAAGAGGCACCGTCTGCAGGTTTAGGCTGAGATTAGAAAAAGAAAGGAAAGGTAGTTAAAAAAAACAAAACAAGTTGCACCTTGAAGTGATAGTAAAGTGAATGAGGGTGAAATGGAAAATCCTTTACGGCTACAGCATATAAATGCATTATTGATTAGGAGAAGTGTACAAAAGCTGCTGGAAAACATCACCGATGCTTAGTCGACATGTTAGTTTGTGTGTGCTCTTGACTCACTGGTGTCTAAGTGTGTGTGTGTGTGTGTTAACAACCATTCAAACATATAGTGTGTATTTATCTTAACTGTAACGTGACACTTGACAAACAGGCAAGAATGGGACTTAAATGGATGCTGGCAGATTTGTAGGCCCAGCCTGTCGGCTAATATGAACAGATGATGTCATAGACGAAAATTAAAACCAAAAATCCAGTTTGAGCTCTGACGATAAGAAAAAAAATAGCTTAATGTAATACTGTATATACCGTGGCACAATTTATATATATATATATGTATATGTATATGTATGTATATCTATACATACATATACATATGTATATGTATATATATGTATATGTATGTATACGTATACATACATATACATACACACGTATACATATATATGCACATATAGGTACATATACACATATTTACATATATATGCACATATAGGTACATATACATATACACATAATACACATATATGTATGCATACATATATGTACACATACATACATACATATACATACATACATACATATACATACATATATATATATATATAAGGTCAGGCCAAAGAAAATACACAATAATGTCAATATACACACAGAGAGGGTAAAAAGGTAACAGAAATTCTTCATTTTACGTGGAGTTGTTAGCGAAAAGCCGGACTCCCCATACATAGTGATCTGTGACCTAGGTACAGTGTTAGATCTACGTCTTCTTCATAGCTTCACATACTTAGAAAAAAAAAGGATACTGTACAATGATTTAGTCATATGCTCGAGTATAGGATTGCATTGTAGCACAGTGATTACAATGGAGAGAGGAGGAGGAGGCGGAGGAGAGGATGTCGATCCATCCTCTCCTCTGCCTTAGTAATATAGCTCCACATCCGTCTCTGACCGACGAAGAGATAAACCTCAGTGGAGGAACAAGGATGCTGGGACACGCTCTAGGCAAACTCCTGTCAACTCTCACTACACAACCTTCCTGAACTTTACTCAACCAAACCCATAAAAAACCTTCCGTTTACTGTCTCTAAAAGGCATTATTGTTTTTTAAATTACCAGGAGAGTTAGCAATCCTAAAAGGTAATTATAACAGTCTGGCCACACACGCACACACACGCAGTTGCACCTTTGTTCACCACAGGGGTCATAGCTTACTGGCTGGACACAGGTGGGACAGGGGTGGGGGGGTTCAAGCATTATCCAATCCCTGGAGAGAGAGAGTCAGAGTCTGCCCTGGCTGACAGGGAAAATAATTCCTGATTGGTTGATGCGCAGAGATAGTGATTTGGTCATGTGATCGTTAAACCAGTGTGGCAGTGGGTTTGCATGTGGGCCCATCAGGGAGTGTGTTGACGTCGCACTAAAGCCTGCACTCTGTGGGAAGGAGGGGAGAAAAAGAGAAAAAAACCGACTCCAGCTTTTTGCTGATGACGTCACATCATGGAAGTTATATTTGATCAGCTCTATGCAATCTTATTCTGGCAGTTCATCTCAACAAATCAATGTTATTCATACTACGGCCAGGTGAGGGCACTAAAGTCAAGCTTCACAAATACAAATGTTGTGGCTGTTTGTTTGTTTTTTTAAATTTCACTTCAGTTATAATTAGTTGTTAGCAATGGATGGTTAGCCTTTTATTGCTAACCATCCAATTTGTTGAGACTATTTTCATTAGGTCTGACATAATGTAAGACTGTACCTCACAATACTATTGTTGGTTCTTAGTACAGTACAGTACAAATAACTGTCCACTCTTAGTACAGTACAGTACAGTACAAATAACTGTCCATGTATTAGGTGACGTCATCAGCACTTACAGAATTTTCTCGCTAATACGGGGAATTCACCGGTTACAGTTTATCAGCGTCGGACTGGAGTTCACGACACGATATAGTCAGCAGGGACATTGGCATTCTGTTTGTAAACAAACTGAACTGAAGGCGCCTGTTTGACATTATTGTTTCAAGAACAAGTGATACATTCAGCATGTTGAGACTGGTGACTGATTGATTGATTGATTGATTAATATGGGAATTGCACTTTGTGACAGACATGTTCAGGTGAGCCGGAAATCAGGGTAGTGGTGGTCGGGTATGTTGAGCAGCGAGCGCTGCTCATCCGTGGGGCTGTCACCCTAAAAATCAGGGACTTCAGTATTTTTTTTAGACATATCGTTTTGGCCAAAGTTAGCCTAACGCTAACCTAACGAGTTCTGCAGCTGGATTTGTTGATTAATAACTACCTCCCCCACCCCACAAGATAGATGAAAACCAGCACCGGACTTTAACTACGGACCATGTAACGACTAATAGGAATATCTTGAGTGAATGTTCCTAATAATTTAGCTAACAGTTTAATCACACTACACCGTCGACGATAAAGAGTGGTAATGGTCAACCTTAAAATCTCTGTCTGAATGCTGTTAAACCTATATTTAAAAAAAAAAAAATGTGCATCATCTGCTTTGATTCCGTTCACAAAGCTCACAAGTTTCACTTAAGGCGAGTGAAGCTTAATCGGACGGCGCGACGACGCGCAGTCGAAGTAAGTTCACGTTTTCAAGTCTTTTCTTCCATTTCCATATTTCCCACACATACAAAGTCACGCAGAGTGCTTCTGTTGATTAGTCTGCTCTGGGGGCGAGGGGTCGGGGGGTGGGGGTCAGGGAGGGGAGGGAAGGGGCGGGGCAGTGGGCAGAATGGGCAGTGGTCAGAATCCAAAAATGTTGGACAGCTCCAACTGGTCAGTGTCAAAAAGGAGGATGTTGTAAATGTGCAAGCACTGAGAGCTGCGAACACTCAGACAAAAGAAATACAAAGGAAGATTTAAAAAAAAAAAAAAAAAGAAATGACAGAAGCTGGGGAGGAGAGGTCACTTCCTCTTCTTCCTCCTCCTGATTTAAAAGCACATTCTTTTCTTTTCTTTTTCCGTCACGATGTGGTCATGTTGGTACACGCCACACGTCGCTCCGACTATTTTCCCCCCAAACCTTTATGTGAAAGGCACTGCATAATCAGCCGTGACTCCCCCTTTGCTCCCACGCCTTTTGTTATCCGATCACAGCTGCTGGACGTTTTACATGCACTGCTATTAGGAGAAGACGAAGGAGGAGGAAGAAGAAGAAAAAAAAAGGGTGGGGGGGGCGATTAACGAAGAGCAACAGCTTCATTTAGCTAGGGAGAACAGCTGTCGTCTGTCCGCGTTAAAAAAAAGTGCAAATCTAGTTCTGCATTGAATCAACAGTAATCAAACAGCATTATAATGACATCAAGTAATCGACTCTACAGGGGAGGGCCTGTTACGGCCTCCCGGATAAAACATTCCTCTGTCCTTTCAGCGAACCCTCCTCACCACTGCTCTGCTTTTTTTCTTTTTGCCTTTAGCTCCTGCTGCTTTCTCCGACGACTTCTTCAACCGAGCTCTTGCGGTAAGTGTGGATCGGGGGCTGCGACGAGGGGGTTTTGTGGGGTTGGGAGGTGAAGGGAGGGGAGTGGGGTAGCACACAGCAGAGTAGAGGAGTCAAGCTTGTTTGTGTCAAGTGGAAGTGGGGGGGAGGAAGGTGGAAGGGTTGGCCAGGGTGGGTCAGCTTATCCAGACTGGACTGCACAGGTTGAGGAAACTCTTTTGGATCGCGTTTAAAAAGATCCAGAGAGGCTTCCGGGTTCATCCCTGATGATTGATGAGGAAGTCAGAGGGTGGTGCTTCCTGCCCCGAGGAGGAGGGCGAGGGGGGTGGGCACCACAGCTTATCAGGCCGGGGATAGAAAGGGGACGTGGAGAGGCGGAGGGATCCATCTGAGAAATCTGCAGCAGAACACATCTGAGCGGCTCTCACAATGACTGGTCTCTTTCAAAGGTTTCCAACTGCAACGACGAGTCTCTGTGTTGGGGTAGAGGAGGGAGGACTGCTGGCTCCAGGACCGCAACCTGCTCAGACCGTCCAGGCTCAGCCAATCGGGGGGCGTCAAACGTGAACATGGTGGCTGCCGGCGTCTCCGAAGAAAAAAATATCATCCGTCTCTTTCAACTCAGAGGATGGGGGTGAGTGGATGTGGAGGGAGGGGAGGGAGGGGGGGGCGGGGGGAGGGGGGGTGCAAATCAGGGGGAGGGGGGGGTACTGAGGCAGAGGTGTGTGTGTGTGTGTGGGGGGGGGGGGGGGGGGGGGGGGGGAGAGGGTGTGCAAATCAGGTGGAGGTGCGTGAAGAGCAGGGGGGTGGGGGGGGATGTCACAAGGCAACAGTGGTGCAGGGATGTTTGAGCTTGCAGGGCAGCACCCCTCTGTTCAGCTGGTAGAACTCCACCAGGTGGATCAGGTCGGTGAACTTGGTGGCGCCGTCGTCGAGGCTGAAGAACACCTGACCGTCCTCCTCCAACTTCACGGAGACAACAGAGAAAAAAAAAAAAGGTAAGGCACCGTCTGACAATTACGCTGTTAGCAAAGTAGATGGCATTCTGGGTTCTGAATGCCAGGATAAACTAACTTAACTAACTTAGACTTAGGTATGCTAATGCTAATGATATTACGATAATAGTATTTATAATAATAATAATTATAAGCAGCAGCATAAATGCTAATAATACAATCATATTATTTATAATAATAATTATTATAAGCAGCAGCATAATACAACTGTATTATTATTATTACTGATATTTACAGAACTATTATTAATATTAATGAGAATAATTATTAATAGTAATAATTATCATTTGTCTCCAAATAATCAGGTGACTGACCGGTAGAATCTGGAAGTGCTTGATCTTCTGGTGGTGGCACAAGGTGAGGACGTAGGCTTTGGGATTACTCTGGCTGTCCCGCAACAGGAACAACCTGGAACACACACACACCATGAGTATTTGTGCATAAATACATATACATATATATATATATTTATATATGCACAGGCCCGTCAGGATGATCTTACCCGTCGACTAGACCTTGCTGAGTGATCATTCTGTGGGCTTCATCTCTCATGATGCGACCGTGAAACCACACCTGTGTCCTGTGGATCACTGAACGACAGCATTTGACGTTAGCGCGTTAACCAACACGGCCTTTATGTGGTTCAGGAGTGCGCGTTTCTCACCTGTGCTCAGGGAGGACGTATGCAGAGGGCTGGGGCTGCCCAGGACATTCATGCGCTGACTGCGTTTCTGTAAGAAATATTTGAGAAAACATACATATATGTATTCACTAGGGGGTGTACAAATTAATCAGAATAATTGGTTTCTATTAATTATATTAATAATTTTCCATTGGGATTAGTCGCACAAAAAACTAGCTGTAAAACCCATACATCTGCAGTACCTGCTGTCTTTCTGTTTAAGTCATAAATAGAATTTTCTTAAGTTCATATTTAAGAATGTTAATTTACCTTGATTAATCACGATTAATCAAAAATATTGTGATTATTCACGATTAATCGTGATTAATCGTGAATAATCAACAGCAAATTCTAATGGATTTACACACCTTATATTTATTGGTGTCAGCCAATGTTATTTCGATCCATTCACAGCCTCAATTTAGCTAAGCAGTGCCGTATGTATTCTACAGCGCCCCCCTCTGGTGATAGGTCATTTGTCAAACTTATATAAATATATTATTATTATTATTATTATTAAACGATAGAGGAAAACGATATTTGGTAAAAATAAATAAATGTCGCTACTCTGCATCTCCCCCCTCTGCATCTCCCCCCTCCTTACCCTCCAGGTCTGTCCCTCCTCTAAGGCGGCACTCTGAGCCTCCACAGGGTTGTCGATGACGCGGCCAGTCCGTCCTGAGAAGTCCATGGCAACCAGGGAGTTCTCAGATACACTCCGCTGTTAGGAGGGAGGGGGTGGGGGGGTCAGACATAAGCAGGGGTGGGTAAAGGGGAAGAGGGACAGACAAAGGGTCAGAGGTCAAACAAGCCAGACACACTCACTGGGGCGTGACAAATCCTGTCTGCACACAGACCCATTTTAAATTTTTTTACATTTTTAGTGATGTAAGAGATTGTGGAATATTTCTGTCCTTATTTGGGATTGGATCTAATAACAATAAAGAGACGTTTGTTAAGAAAAACAATGTGTCAACTCCTGTGCTTGGGATATAATATATAATAAAACCAAGTAAATTTGGAGCTCATTAAAAAAAAAGTGACATTATTTGTGATTAATTGCTAAGCTAACTACAGTCAATAATGAAACTAAATATTTTATTTAGTACTTCTAAATGTGTTACATAAGTCTAAGTGCTATGTAAATGTCGACATACCATAATTAACATGTAGTTAGTTTGTTTTTGTTAGTTTTTTTCCACTAGTCTAAATGAGCCCAAAAAAAATTAATTTAATACAAAACACATAACTGACTTTACTCTTCTGAAAACCGAGGCACGGTGTGGTCAGGAATGGAACTGGTTTCTGTTTTACCACCAGCCAATTAATGGACCGGTCCTGTCTGGCCTGAGCTGAGTGTGAGCTGCACGGAAGAAGAAAAACAAAAAAATGTCATTCTTACCACAGGCGCTGAGAAAGGCTGTAGGTTAGACTTCCTCTGCTGGGGGATGTTGTAGCTCTGATACAGTACGATGCCAAACTGTGAAATGGGAAGAGAGAAGACGACGTCAGCTCATGATTCATTTTTTTAAAATGATGACAAACAAACTATTAAAAATAAAAGCTAGAAGCTAATGAATTGCCACTTGGCAACATTTGAATCTCACTGTAACTTGTCCAGCATTGAATCTTACAGCGAGCTTGAATTACAATGTGTTTTGGAAAAAATAAATAAATAAATAAAAGGAAGTACTTTGAGCAGTCTGAAGGCCGTCATCCAGCAGGTCCTGCTCTGTTCGTCCTCCGCACACAGCATCTTCAGCTCCTTGAAGTCCCCTCTTCCTTTGCTGGGCTGTTGAACAGCAGACACAGCGGTGTCATGTTAATAAGATCAACAGCACTAGTTAGTGACTCGGTTCTCAAAGCTAACGTAGGAATGCTAAAGGTTGTTACTTATTACTTATTATACTTTATCATTATGGATTATCTCTGGTTTAGCGCTTTCCAGACGCTTAATTTCCGATTCTGATATCATCCGATACCGATATAGTGGGCCACTATCGGATGATATACTGGTAGTTATGGTAGTTAAGTGCTGTCTGGTCACTAAGGTGATGGGTTAAAAGCAGAGTGGGCATTAGTGTGCAGTGCGTCACTGAATATAAAAAAATCATCTGGCGAAACCCAGGCATTGCGTATTGGGGTTTTCATTATCGGGGGAAAAACGTTAGTAATTCTTACCTATACTACATAATTATGCTAATATCGGTCGGCCGATATTATCGGACATCCCTACTAGCCACTATCCAACAATTAGCTACAGTTTAGCATAATCTGAAAATAACCTAAACTTAGCTAGAGTTAGCGAAAAAGTGAAGAAGAAACGTCGGTAAAGAAATGAGAATATACCATGAAGGCAGCTCAGAGAAAAGTAGAGAAAAAGCTGACTATTAGCTAAGACACACTAAAAATACTACGTACATATATAGTATGCAGTATATGCTCTGACGCCTACTTCATAGCAGCGAAAAGCACAATTACTTTACTCATACAATTGTACAGTACAGTTATCACAGGGGTCCTCAACCCTCGGTCCAGGGACCAGTGCTGGTCCATGATACTGGCCGACCGGTCGCATCACTCTTCCTCAAACGTAACAATCCTGCCCTCTATGTGTGGGTCCGTGTTTGTGCATGCGAGTGTACACAGTAGAGGGTTGACCGTACCGTCCCAGCTAATCCCACTGGGCTTATCCCAGATCAGCAGGTGATAGTGTGTGTGGGCAGATTTAACCCTTTTGACCCCGAACCAAACCATCATCCACATGTAAAAGGAAAGACGTGTGTGTGTGTGTGTGTGTGTATTACCTTAATGCAGAACTGGAAGTCCGTGGGGGCATTGTAAAGTTTCCTGCCAGTGATGATGGTGAACATGTTACTCTCCTCCAGATCTGAGAGCAGCTGCAGATGTCTGGGCTCCTGTTGAGGAAGAGGAGAGTTTTGAGTTTATGCTCCAAGAAAAAAGTTTGGTAAAGGTAAAGGATGAAGAAATAAAAATAAAAAAAACTGGGTCAAACTAATCTGAATGATAACTCTTTTGGTTTTTTCACATGACGTCATTTTCGTGAGTCAAACTAAAAATATGAATCAAAATCTCCAGATTAGGGATGTCCGATAATATCGGCCGATAATTCCGATATTAGCATCTTATTTAATTCCTGTAAGAATCGCCATCGGTTAAAGTTTTCGCTTTTTTCCACAGATATTGAAAACCCGATAACACATGCCTTGGTTTCGCCAAATAATTTGTTTCTTAAAAAAATATTAGGGGGATAAACGGCAGTATATTAAAGCGAAGGTCACTAGAGGGCAGCATTGCATTACAGTGGTTTTTACAGGTAAATAAATAACTATTGGACAATATCAGTATATCGGATATCGGCAAAAAAGTTAATATCGGACATCCCTACTCCCGATCCTTTGCACGATGTGCAGACACTATATTCAGTCGGCATTTGCGAGTCCTGGAAAGTAAACGTTCCACTTGTACTCATGTACTCTTTACTTCTTAAAAAATTAGGTTAGAATTTTATGCCGTCATTTTTTTAAGCTAAAGTTTGTCTTCACTTGTCGTAAAGAGTGGTGTTAGCCTGTTAGCGACATCATTTTCTATCACTGACAACCAATCAAATGTAACCATCATTCCTCCTTTACGTTTCCTCTACAAAAAAAAAAAAAACCTCGGAGTCGAACGCTGACCTTAGACGTCCCTTTGGTTGAATAGTAAAGACCAGAACGTCGCAGGAACATGTAGAGTTTCTTCCACGACTTCCGTCCGGGATCCTTTATGTGCAAAAAACCCTGGATCTCTGGGCAGCTGCTGGAGTTCAGAAAGTTCTGGAAGCACAGGGTGGAACAGTTCTCACATTTAATTCCATGTACCGTTACACTCGGGTGTACAGCCGTTTCCGCTTGTGCGTCACCTGTAAGAGCTGCGACTGAGGGATGGAGCCGTCAGACTCCTGACACCAAGCTACCATCTGCTCTGGAAAAAAGTTCTGAATGGAAACACACAAAAGACACACAGACACTCGGTGAGCAAACGGGGAAACATGAGAGGATGTACGGGTTCGGATGCAGAAAACACTTAGCGAAAGCCCACAGTCAGGTAGTTTCCCCTGTACTGAATGTGTGTGTGTGGGTGGGTGAGGACTAAATTGATTGGGGAGAGAGAGAGAGAGAGACAGAAAGAAGGGAAAGTACTAAAGCCTGGAAGTGGATACAGCATGATCTCATCCGATGATGTAATCCCCTTTAGCCAGCAGCGCTACTCTTAGCGTGATTGACAGGCCGTGGCCAGCACTCTAGTGTTTTACTGTCCTCATTACCACAGAGCTGAGGTCACCTGCTGGCTCTGGCACACCTCTAAATCACTGCAGCAGTAATGTCACCGCACACCCAGCCAGCACATAACGGGAGAGCCCCACACTGAGACCACCCCCCCTCGCCTCCCCATCAGCAAAAGATGCCACGCGAGCTAGCTAGCTAGCTAGCTGGCTGGCTGGCTGGGGGGGCGGCTGGGCGGGGTATTATCTCTCGCGGCGCCACTGACGGGTGCTCTTCCTCACCTCCCCATCAGCAAAAGATGCCACGCGAGCTAGCTAGCTGGCTGGCTGGCTAATGACTCGCTGGCTGTCAAAGGCAGGTCTGTGTCCTTAAAATGATGAATAGCGCTACACTTTTTATTCAGTTTACCGAAATAGAATGAGACGCAGCTTTGCTGTCACCAGACGGAAGACAGAATTGGGCAAGCAGACCATACGAGGCCTGAGCACAGTGAGACGTGACACAAGGAGAGCATTGTGTGTGTGTGTGTGTGTGTGTGTGTGAGACAGAGAGGGTGAGTCCAGGCACCTGTTCCAGGACTGATCCTTTTATTAGCCCTCGAATTCTTCTGGATACCAGACGATTAGCATGTTTTGATGGAAGTAAAGTCCATGTCTACGGAATTTACAGAGCGCTAATGAACCGACGGCGGCTGAAAATGAGTTAAGATACTGGAGATTCTATTGTTATGTTTTCAGTTTTAAATACAAACTACAGGTTGAAGGCAGCGGCCCCGGAATCTGTATAGACTCAGTTAGCTGTCAGTGATCTTCGTTTTGCTAATTTATAATGGGTTTCATGTGGAGATGTATTAGCATATATTATTAGCATTGCAATATAATATTTGCGATTTTTCATCCCTCGATTTTTTTCAAAATGTGGAAAATTACCGACACGCAAAGGATGACCTCATCGAATCCGACTGTCGGGCATAACGACAAATGGCTAGCGGTTATCTGTGTGCTAACGCCTGCTACTTAAGTGACGTCTTTGGTTCAGGGGTTTTATAAAATTTAACAATTTTCAAATAGCTTAGTTAGCTTATGTGAGTGATGTTCATCAATTTTCCACGGACCAATTAGCTGGTCACATCTGGTGACGCACTTGAACAGCACATTATCAAAACGTTATCAAACTAAGGCATCTTCGTTCAGTACTTGGAATTTTATTTTTTCTGACTAACTTGAAGTTGTTTTCGTACATTTCCCAGACAACAAAAGTTAAACATTTTAATGGGGATTGTTAATTGTTTAACATAACCTTAACGAACCGTCACCGTTGGATCTCGGGGCCCGTTGAAAGCCTGTGTCTGCCAGAGCAGCTTATAACTGTGAATAGAACCTGCAGGCTGACATCAGCATGGAAACACTGTGTAGACAGTAATTAGGAAGCCAGCTGTCTGGGCCTCGTCATCTCCTGATTCCATTTTGAAAGTGACACTTATGGCTTCGAGGGAAACGCTAAACAGCAGAACTGCACATGTCTCGTGTCTGCTTTCGAATTAAATCAATCCATAAGATTGTGATGAATAGAAATATCCAGTTATTACTTCATGTTTTTATACTATTAAACACTTAGTCCATATTTTTTGTTTTCATGCAAAAAAAGTACATAAAAATCATATTCACATTTAATGAAATATAATTTGACAAAACATCACGAACATGAAGTATTTGTGCATTTTTTTTCCACTTTTAAAATTCATCAAGTGGGCCAGATTGAACCGACCCAGCGGGCCGGTTTTGGCCCACGGGCCATATTTTTGACTGTGGTTCTCTAAGGTCTTGGATTATAAAAATCCAATCTAATCTAATTTATTTTCTATCAAAAATCTAAATTTGACCAATTTCAGAATTTCTAGCGCTCTTTGGAACAGACGTACTTATTGAACCGATCGCGACGATTGACATCGACACTAGGTGGCGAGGTGGAGTTCAAACTGTGGTTCGTCTCAGACCGAGAAAAAAAAAAAATATAATTTCGCATAAAGAGACAATTTCCTGGGGGAAAGAAAAGACTCGTCCAGGAAGAACACTAAGCCAAAAAAGCCGATGGAAATTCTACCAGCCTAGACAACAGATCTGACTGTAATCCCGCAGATTATGTTCCGAACCGGGTTCATGCTAGGAAAAATAGTCTAGAATAATAAGGATTTTATGAGAAAAAATGTTAAATATATTTATATATATAATATATTTTTATATATATTTATATATATATATTTATATATTTATTGACCCTAAATGTATAAGCTTTAGAAATGACGTCGTTCTTCTTCTCATTTTTCTCCTCCCTCTTGTGTCCTCCTCCCCTCCTCCCCACCATTAATCTCCATTAATCAATTACAAAGCATGAGCAGTTCCACTGCTCCTCTTTGTCTCTTTATATTTATATATGTGTGTGTGTGTGTGTGTGCTCTAACAGAAAGGTCACGTCAGGGACTGACAGACTCACCAAGGGGTTCCTGAAGAATTCATATTTGGCATAGTTCTTCCTGAAGAGGAATTTGCTGTCGGTGCTCATGGAGGCTTGAACCTGAACCACCACCTCGTGGTCTTCCAGACATCGCTCTGAAAATAACACACACACACTTTTTCAACTATAAGGAGAATAAAACTATATTTTTTTTCCCTCAAAAGATTTTTTTTTTTTCCTTGCGTTTAACCCCCCCCTTTTAAAAGATGACCGTTCAGTCACGGTCTTTATTTAGCACTGCACCACTGGCTGCTGGTCACAACCACCATATGCCGTGACACAGCAAGAAAAATCCGCCTGTTACTAGGAGACGAGGGAGTATCGCTCGAAATGAGGAGGAGCCAGGAGAGGCAGGAGCCCGCGGAGGGAGGAGGTGACGGCGGAGAGGATGATGTCACGTATTTAGGCCGAGCGCTTGGAGCCCAGAGATTGTGAGCACAAGTACACGGCCACACAAGTTTGGGAAGTGAATTATGAGAGTGTGTCCCAGTTATAGACACACACACACACACACACAAAAAAAACCCTCTAATTTAGTAGTGATGCTCTCACTCTCTCTATCTGTCCTTTCTTTCTTCATATATATGTGTGTGTGTGTGTGTGTGTGCGCGTATCTCTCCGTTGATTGGCTAAGAAAGCTAGGGGCTCGTTCAATGCACTCCGGCGATTGGCTGCTCACCGCTCTGGTATGACGCTCCGGTCCAGACCTCTCCACGCCACCAGCCCTTCCCCTCCCTTCTTTCCTGCTTCTCTGTCGTCCCTCGTTCTCCTTCTCCTTTCATCTCTCTCTCTCCCTCTCTCTCTCTCGCTTTCCCTCCCTTCCTTCCTCCCCTCACCTCACATTCCATCTCTCCAATGCACTCTCTTTTTCCAGAAACTCAGATCAAGCAGCAAAACACAAAGTGATCCTTTGACACTAAAAATATAACTCAGCTGGAGGAAAGCCTTTGCCGAGGATAA